AAAATTTGTTTACCAGCATTTACTTGTTCGTTATTAACCAACCCGATACTTTTTTTAAATTTATTATTATTATTATTATTTAATATATTTCATTAGCAAGAACAACACACCTATATTTCATTTTTTTTCCTGTAAATTCGCAATCTACAAAAAGGAACGTTTTATTTAACAAATTCATTTATAACATAATGGAAGTAATAACAACACCATTATTTTGTCTTCATCATCTTTTTTTCTTTTTCTTTTTTTTTTTTATTTTTCTTTTTCTTCTTTGCTAAATTCTCAAACTGGAAGAGACGTTAGAGGAAATGGTTGTATTAGTAACCATTAAGTAACCTGTCGTTGATCTGATAAAAACGTTTTCTTAGAAGGAAGAACGAGATTTTCTCTAATGAGAAAAAGAAGAAAGAAAAAAAGAAAAAAGGAAAGGAAAAAAAAAGGAACTAGATTTCCTCCTTACAAAGATATCGATTTTCAGTATCGACAAAAAATTCCAATTTCCGTCATACTCAATCATAAAGAAAGAAACAAAGCAAGCATCGTGTATTTATTTTTGACAACATCTATTCGATAAAAAATATATATATAATGAAACAATTTAATATAAAAATTACAAATCTGTGTAAATAATTCAAATAATGTTATTTTTCAATCAATCAATCAAACAATAAAATCAAATTATTACATTTACATACCTGACGATGAAAACAAAAATCCGTAATTAAACTTACTAATTTTTTTAAATGAATAAATTAAATCGTAATTAAAGAAATTTTTTGTTTATCTTACACGTACATATTATATTATATTAAACAAAAGAAAAAAATCATCTCTATCGTGATTTTTTATTTAATTAATAATGCTTTAGTTATTTTTTTTGTTATACTTTGTACAATCATTTCCTCCATCTTGTTTTCTTTTATACACTCTTTCTCTATTTCTTTTTAATCGAAAATAGATTAGATTCGGAAAAGGAAATGACGTTCACACACACCACCCTTTTCTTCCTCCGGGTACGATCGTATCTTCCTTACCGGAAGTTGGAAGACATTGTTTTATAATAGAAACCCTTCAAAGGGATTGAAATTAACCTAGAAAAAAAGAAAGAGAATATCGATAGTCGATTACATCTTGGTAATATTTACCGCGTATTTTATCGTTGCATTTAACCTTTCGAATACTACGGGCGCATATATGCGTCCAACTAAAGTAATCCGTGTATTGACTAAGAACGCATATATGCGTTTATCAATTTTGTTCTTCAACCATCTTCCTTGAATCGACATTTATTCTTTTATTTTTATCAATACTAATAATTAAACACACACACACACACACATTAACAGAAAAATCATTCAACGAAAAGATGAAAAATCAATTAAACCGAGTGCCGCATTTTCAAAAGGGGTTAAAAGAAGAACAAACAAAATATGATGCATTCTTATTTTTCTAATAGTGTGTGTGTCTGTGTGTGTGTGTGGAAAAATAATTCCACTCATACACACAAACACACACACACACCCGTTTCGTTCTTCTCTTTTCCATCGTTGTGTTAAAAAAAGAAAAAAAAAACTCTTCAAGGTAATTCCTCTTAACCTTGACTTCGACTCCTCCGAGTCACTTTGGGGTTGAAATCTTCACATTTGCAAATGGCGTCGAGTCGACAAGAGAGTATACTACTACTACTTTTCTTTTTCTTTGTAACAATGATGGATGATGATTCCCCACTATGTGTATGTGTGTACTACACATGTATTATATACAACAAAAAAAGAGAGAAAGAGAGAGAGAGAGTGCACTTTGCACGTGCTCTAACAAAGAGTCAGTCAGCTGTTACTTTCCTCACATTCATATTCATACACATATACATACATACATATACACACACGATACAATAGCCCACGTATATCTGAGATGTGGCAAAACCAGATGCTAATTAAACGTTCAGTGAGAAAGTAGGTCAGATTTGGGTTTGACGTACTCTGACTACGTAGATCGTACATACGTCAAAGGGTGAAACTGGAGCAAGGTTCGATAACTGCAACGTGATATCCATAGCATATCATCGATGTGATATCTAACTTATATACAGCTACTATCTAACCATCTACTTATCTATCTATCTATCTATCTATCTATCTATCTTTCTTCTCTATTATTAGGGTGAACCAAAAGTTTGTGCATTTTTTCAATTAATATCTCAACACTTGCATATAAAGTTAATTTTATTGACTTCAAAAAAATAATTGCAATGTGATATCCATAGTATATCATCGATAAGATATGTAACTTATATACAGCTACTATCCAACTATCTATCTATCTTTATTCTTTATTGTTAGTGTGAACCAAAAGTTTGTGCATTTTTTTAATTAATATTTCAACACTTGCATATGAAGTTAATTTTATAGACTTCAAAAAATAATTGCAATGTGATATCCATAGATTATCATTGATAAGATATGTAACTTATATACAGCTACTATCCAACTATCTATTTATCTATCTTTCTTTTTAATTATTAGAATGAACCAAAAGTTTGTGCATTTTTTCAATTAATATYTCAACACTTGCATATAATAAAGTAATTATATTGGCTTCAAAAAATGTTGTGCTATCTAAAACTAACACTATAATAAACGCACGAACTTTTGTTTCACCCTTATTACTTATTTCTTTCGATGATAAATGTTACATTTATCTATCATAATCATCCCCCATTTGATTACTTATTATAAGATTTCTATTTATTTCCGCGATTAAAAACGCGTAGTATTTATTTTAAATATAACACTATGATGTAGCTTGTTTTACTCATGGAAAATCATAAGATTAATTAATAAATCTAATAAATTTAATTTACGAATATAATTTTATGAATGATTATTTGAATTGTGTTGTTGAGAATTTTTAGCAGACATGAAACATATTATTGGTTTACATTATGAGAATTTATTGAATTGTTCTGAAACAAATGTTGATCAATATTGTATTGAATATTTGTTTCATTAAACTTAACATTCTTGTTCTATTTTTGTTTTAGGGTCTCCTGGACAAGTACCTGATCCCTAAGGCTAGTAATGCCGAAAGCAAAGTATTCTACCTCAAGATGAAGGGCGATTATTACAGGTATCTCGCAGAAGTGGCAACTGGTGAAACCAGGAACGGTATGTTGTATTTATTTTTAAATCAAATTAAATAAAAAGAAAAGAAAACACTATAAAACAATAGTCTCGAAATACAAGAACATATTAATAATTTTTTTTCTTTATTTTCTTATACAATTGTTTGAATTGTTAAATCGTAAAGTTTTGGATGAAACATTGTTATTGTATTTCAAAAGATATCGATCAAAAGTTGGGTCCTTTACGAAACCCCACTATCGTTCAAAGAATCTTCTTCTAAAAACGATGGTGAAACCAAAATAAAGAAAAAAAGGACTTTGAACGATGGTGGTGATGGTGGGTAGCAGTAGCAGCTGCGTTTCTTTTGCATTGGCAGATGTTTCATGATTAAAAAGTAGTATCCTCTTGCGTTATTTTTCGTATACGTGTGAATGTAACATTACAGTGATCTTTAAAAGAGATATCACGAGAGAAACTTGAAAACACCGTGAAGAATAAGAATAAAAAGAAGAAGTAGAAGAAGAATATTCGAGAATTATTACCGTAACAAACAACAACAATAACAACAATATCTTGCACATCTGCCTTCGCAATTTACACGCCAATTTCCGTTTACATTTTCCGTTAGAATAACGAAATTCTTTTTCTACTTACTTTAAAGGGAACGGTTTTCCAATTATATTTCTTGTTGGCAAGTTTAAACTCTAAACTATTCTCTTTGGAATTTATATATATATATATTTGTGAGAAACAGAAAGAGTAGAAGAAACAAACTGGTGATTAAAGAAACTATCTCAGTTTATATTAATCAATTAAAATTGTTTTTTCTTGTTTTTTTGACAATTTTCTTTAACTCTTTGGGATACAGTGTAATTAAAAAGTGTCCCACATTGTTGATGCAAACTGGTAATACATGGTGGGATATTTTTAGTCCCATCTAGAAATATATTGCGTATATAAATTTATATTTCGTCTTATTTATGTATAAACCAATTGATAAAATATTTTATTACGAATGTAATTAAACTATTACTCTTTATTTTAATATATGTTTTTACATTATGTGATACCTTTATTAATAAAAATATATCAATTTTGTGTTTATCATTTAAAACACAATCAAATTTCTATGCAACATGGGAGCTATTTTATTATCTGAAATCTTGTATCGCAAAGAGTTAAAAGACAATATCAATACCGATAGGTTTCAAATTTACTAGGATAATTATTCAAGATTTGTATGTGCATATATATATATATATATACCAAAGAATAGTATAGTAGTTGACGATGAATTTGATTTAGCATGTGATGAAGTGTGTTGCTTAAAAGTGTTATACAATATAATATAATACTTTTTGTTGTTGTGTATTTTGTTAAATCTATAAACAATTGTTAATGATCTAACAAATCCAATATCTTGATTGTCATCCACGTACATATACAGCTGTGGTAGATGATAGCCAGAAGGCGTACCAGGAAGCATTTGATATCAGCAAGTCAAAGATGCAGCCCACCCATCCGATCAGGCTAGGTCTAGCTCTAAATTTCTCGGTCTTCTATTACGAGATCCTCAATTCACCAGATAAGGCCTGTCAACTGGCCAAACAGGTATAAACAATTAACACCTAATCGATATTTCTTTAACTTTACAGGATTTAATCTATTGAATAAGCGACTTGATCATGATGGTGATGATGATGATGGTGGTGCAGTGGTTGTGTAATGGTGGTGGTGATGGTGATGGTGATGATGATGATGATGATGACAACAACGATGATTCAAACAAGAAGAAAATGTTGAACTTGCAATTTTCTTATTGATTGTTTTTAACATTGGCATGATGCGCATACAAACCTTGTGATTCTGATTTTTCATTCGCTTTTTCTCACGTTCCAATTATTTATATTCCTTCTTGTTCTAACGATAACATACTCTAACGTAACAACTAGAATGATGAGGAGAAAAGAAGTCGTGAATAATGATGATTATGATGATGATGGTGATACACAGTCTTTTTCAATAGTTTCTTTTATCTGTGATTTACATTGCAGCGGTAGTCGATGATTCACAGAAGGCATATCAAGAGGCGTTCGATATAGCAAAAGCAAAAATGCAGCCTACACATCCAATCAGGCTTGGCCTTGCCCTCAACTTCTCCGTTTTTTATTATGAAATTATCAATTCCCCCGCTAGGGCCTGTCACTTGGCCAAACAGGTCAGGGGTAACAAGAATCATTTTTAATGTGTTGTTCAATTTGAATTTGATTTTTCTTTTTCTTTTTTTATTTATTTATTTCGTTTATGTGGCTGATTGATTACACATAAATCTATCAGTAAAATAATAATTAATAATAATAATAATATCTGTGTGTGTGCTTTTGTTTGATTCAAACTTTACAAATTTTTCAATCTTATTTAACATATTTATCAAATACAAATCACAAGTTTGATATTATAACATTATTTTTAAATTATAATAATCCTGATATTCTTTAACTTGAACAATCATATTAACATATTTTTTGAGACCAACAATTTCAAGATAACAATATATCAACTTCATTAATTAATTCCTACCCCAAAACTGCACCACTATTAACTACTCATTTAAAAAGTCGCTAGAATAATAATAATATAATATAATACAATTCTAATTTAATCCAAATGGAATAAATATCTGGCAAGAAGGTATAATATTAATCTAGTCTAAATTGATTTATTATCAAATTACATTATTTTCCAAAATTTAATCAAATACAAATCACAAAAATTTGATATTTGTATATCGATATATATATATATATTCTAACATTACTTTGTTAGTATAATCCTGATATTCTTTAATTCGAACAATCATCATATTAACATATATTTACTTAAACAATTTCATAATAATATATCTACCTATCAATCCACCCCCACCCCAAAAAACTGTACCACTATTAACTCACCTAAAAAACAATAGTCGCTAGAAAAATAAATAATAATAATAATAATAATAATAAAATATTAAAATTCTAATTTAAACAAAATGAAATATACCTACCTTTGCACGAAGGTAGAATAATTGAAATCTAACAGATTGATTAAGTTATTCATCATTGTATTTAAACCTATATATATAATTATATTATTATAAATGATATATATTTAAATTTACACGCATATATACACATATATAAATATATAATATTTATTTTAGGCGTTTGACGATGCGATCGCGGAACTGGACACATTAAACGAGGACAGTTACAAAGACTCCACGCTGATCATGCAGCTGCTGCGTGACAACCTCACTTTATGGACCAGTGACACGCAGGGCGACGGGGACGAACCACAGGAGGGCGGCGACAACTAACCTTCCTAAGCTTAAGTCCTTTCTAATCTAATAAGAACATCCTACTCTCCTATCGTCTCCCCCGTCCCTTTAAAACAAAAAAAAAAAAAGAAAGAAAAGAAACAAAAACAACAACAAAGTGCTCACACCACACCACCCCCCATTATTTCCATCCATTACCCCTTACCCTCACCACCAATACCACCACCATTCATTCACGCCTTGTGTTTTTCTTTTTAAAATCCTCTTCTCGCGTTTCCTTCTTCTTTTTCTTCTTCTTCTTCTTCTTCACCGTTTGTTTTTTCTTCTACTTCTCTCCCCTCCTGTTACCAGCTCACCCTTGTCCTTTAGCCCATTAACTATCTCTCCCCCCACTCCCCTACTACTACTACACAATACTACTTTATCAAAACTTTTTTCGTATATATATATACATATATATATTCTTCTTCTTCTTCTTCTTCTTCTTCTTACTACTATACACCCTTTTTTTTATTATTCCTCAATCTTCTTCCCTCCCAATGTTTTTTTTTGTTTGTCGTCACACACACCTTCCAATGAAACAACAAACAACAACAAAAAGTAAAGAAAAGAAATGAAACGCTTCAAATCATGTTTTTTTTTTTTCGTTTCTCTCTCCTCCTCCTCCTCCACCACCCTCTTGATAACTAAAAAAACACCACCCCATCCCCCTCTCCTTGTCTTATAATCTCCCGCCAACAATAACAACTACAACTACAACAACAACACATCTTTACATCATATATTGATATGATGTAACCGATGCCGTCGTCACAACTATACTACCACCACTACTACCAACACTCGGCTCGATATATATATATATATATATGTATATACATATATATATATATATTAAAAAAAAAAAAAAAGTAATAACAAAAATCAACAACAACAACACCCTCGAATGTTAAAAAAAGCAAGCAAGCAGCAGGCAGCCTCTCTTCTACCAACCAACCACCGATGAAAACAAAAAGAAAAAATACAAAGAGTTATAATAAAAATTGGATAGAAAGAAAAAGAAAATAGAAGAAGATGATGATATGTGATTCTCGGCCATGTCCTTTCGTCGATCATGCGAAATATAATATACATATAATTAATAATAATAATAATAATAGGGGGTGTGTGTGTGTGTATGGTTGGTATGTGTATGTGTGTGAGGTGGTTCAAACAACTTGTTGATGATGCGTGTGAGGGGGGTGGGTGGGCATTTCTATTAATTTACAATATATGCGTTGTGCGTTTGTTCGACAAAAAGTTTTGTATAGAAAAGTTTTACATGGTGTTATTAAAAGGGATGAAAAGGGGGCGGGGACACACACTCTATATATGTTTATATGTTAGTGCATTTATTTATTTATTTATTTTTTCTTTTTTTTTTCTTTCTTTCTTTTTTATCGGTTGAAACGTTTCGGAGATTAGCGTTGCGCGAGGGGGGGGTGGTTTAATATAATTCTTTGTTCATTTTTTAAATAAAATAATTATATAAAATATGTTTTGTATCTCACAAAAATGTAGAAGAGAAGAAGAATAATCGAGTTATGAGTAAAAGAAAAGAAAAGAAAAGAAAAAATAAAAGTATTCTGACTTTTATTTATTAGCAGCCCCTATATATATATAATATACTGATAAATTGATTAGCTAACCGTGAGTGATTTCACTTTATTTTATTTCTCCAACATTTATTTCCTTTCGCGTATTATAATCTCATGTTGGAGAATTCAATCTTAATCACGCGCTTAATATTAATTATTACTCAATATAATAATAATAATAATAATAATATAAATATATAAAAAGTAAAATTACTCGTTAGTTAATTAAAAGATTGAAAGGAGCCTAACATATTGATGATCATCAATTTTTGTTCTTTTTTTTTCAACTCATAATTCGGATATTCTTTTGAAACTTTGATACAAACAACAACAAAATTGTATGATTATTTCGTTTATTAAAAGAACAAAGTTTTGTTGATGACCCTACGAGAATCTTCAAAACGTTTCTCTACCTTTAAACAAAAATAAAATCAAAGAAAAGATAAGAAATAAATAAAATGCATTTGCAATAAATGTGTGTGTGTGTGTGTGTGTGTAACTCTTTAAAAAAATAAAAACCGTGCAACTTTTGTATACAAGATTTTTTTTCTTGCAAAACATTCACATATTTGAGGTTATAATAGAAGGAGGAGGGGGTCGTCACAAGTTGTGCGAACGAAACACACACGCACACCCTGTATATAAAATAGCATCATTAAACAAAATAATATCATCGTACGTTGCTCTCTCTTTTTCTCTCTCTCTCTTTTTATCTTTCTCTCTCTTTCTATCTCTCTCTTGATCTTTTAATCTCTCCCAACTCTTGTTCTATTATTATTTTTCACATGAACAATGAAATTGTTCTGTTGTTATTATTAAGAACGGAAGAAATAATTAGAGAAAAAGAGAGAGATAGAGAGAGAGAGAGAGAGAGAGAGAAGAAACAAAAAGAAAAATAGGAAGGAATTAAAAAATAAATAATAATAATAATGAAGATTGTCAAAAGAATTAAAACTGAAAACACAAACATGGCTGACAAGTGTGCAACAACTGAACAAGAAAAAAGTGAATGAATGAACGTATGAATTAATGAATGAATGAATGAATGAATGAATGAATGAATGAGAAAGAGAGAGAGAGAGAAAAAGAAAGAATACAAGTAACGGATAGTAGTGCTCTTGTAGAAGCCATGTTATTCGCGTTGCATTGTATTTGTAATTTGTAATTTGTAAATTGTGTTTTACGACGAAAAGAAATGGTCGAGAGTCAAGTGAGAAATCCTTTTTTTTTTTATTTTGATCTCTGACACCGAGGTCTTTAAAAAAAAAAAAACAAAGAAAGAAAAGAAAACAAAAAGAAGTCTCTCTTATTTTTTAATAAATTATCACCAGAAACAACAACCAACACACGGCATCTCCGTAATATTCATATAATTCGTCTGGAATTTTAGAAAGAGGAAACGATAAAATAAATTAATAATAATAATGATAAATATATATAAGAATTAACAGAGAAAGAGAGAGAGGGATGTGGCAGGAATAATGAAAGAAAGAAAAATGAAAAGTATTTTTTTCGCAGATCTTGTCTCGTCTTCTTTTTCATAGCACTTGTTATGTGTATGAGTTGTGTGTGTGTGTATGTGTAATCTTGAAACTTTCGTTTTGAATGAAAGAGATTGAAAGATAGAATAAACGTGAGATATATGTGTGTGTGTGTGTGTGTGTATGTATAAAAACGTTGTTACAATTATCTGTTTCTCTTCTAGAGAAACGTGAGAGGAAGAAATTAAAAGAAAAATAAGTGTTCTAATTGTTGAAACAAATATTAAGTGTTTATGTGTGTCCTAAGAGAGAAGAAAGAGAGAAGAGTTTGTTTTTGGGGGGGGGTAATGAGGAGGGGGAGGGAAAAAGAAATAAAAATTCAATATGTCCGTTTTTAAAGTAACTTTTAAAATTACTTTGAAATAAAAAGATAAAAGAATAGAAGAAAGAAAAATATCAAGAAACAAATTGTATATGTCTTTCTCTCTCTCTCTCTCTCTCTCTTTGTATATCTGTGTGCGTGAATGTTAGGTGTTTGAAGAAGGAAGAATGAGAATGATTGAGAATAACCTGAGAATTACTGAGAATTAAGAGAAAAATGAGGAAAAGAGAGGGGATAAAAAAATGAATGTAGAAAACGTTTGTGTAAAATTGTTCGTGACGAGACACGGAATGCGAAGGGTATAATATAATATGAGACACCATTACCACCATATCCACCCACCCACCCACCTTACAACCCAACCAGCAACTATCATAAACCAACATCACTATTATACCATTACCAACAACTTTCATTATTCCCAGGATCTGTTCGTTACCTTCTTCTTCTTCTTCTTCTTCTTCTACTATTACTACTACTACTACTACTACTACTACTACTACTACTACTGCTACCTATTTATCAGAATTATAAAAACGATATTAACGCGTAAATAAAATTAACAATGATGAAAAGAAAAAAAAAGAAACAAAGAGAAAGAAGATGCGCGAAAGTTTCGAATAAAACGATGCGAAAGGGATAAAAGAAATATTACTTAACAAAATACAAAAAGAACAAGAATATTTGAATGATATTTAAAAACAACAAAAAAGCACTTACGAATCTAAAACAAACAAACAAAAAATAACCAACCAACCAACAATTATTACCCGAATTGTCATTAAATTAAATTTCACATTGTCTAGCAAGTACGAATATTATTATTATTATTATTATTATTAATTAATTAATTATTATTATTATTATTATTATTATTATTAATTATTATTAATTATTATTAATTATTATTATTAATTAATTATTATTATTATTATACGAAGGGAAGAATGCAGGAGGAGAAAGGAGAGTAAAAAAAAAAAAAACGAAACAAATACATTAAGTTATTAAGTTCCAAACGACATCATTGGTGTGACTTGATTTAACAAACACACACACACACACATATACCATACCATACACATTTTTAATATATTTTGTAATTACGTGTATAACAACACGTTCAAATCGAAATATCATTTTTACAATTTAACCCTTTATCATTATCCATCCCTTGATCAAATTTTCTTTTCCCCATTTATATAAACCTTATCATACAACAATCTCTTTTTTATTGTTTATAAAAAAAAAATAATGAACAAAACCACACAACCACCAATCAATCTTCCTCCTCCTCCTCCTCCTCCTCCTCCTCACGCATATATACATATGTATATATATATGTGTGCGTTATAATATAATATAATATCATCATTATTATTTTTTCTCTTGGTCATTATTTCAAACCGGTGTGTGTCTGCTCGTCATCATCATTGTTCATTAAAAAAAAAACAAATCCAACATATATATATATATATTTAACAAAAAATACAATGAATAATAAAATACTCGATCGTGTTGCTGCTGCTGCTGCTCGTGATATTTATACTCGCACTATTTTTTCTTCTTTTTTTGTTTTTTTTTTTTTTATTTTCAAAACCAAATATTTAAACATTTAAAAGAAAACAAACGAACGAACGAACGAATGGAACGATCGTTGTTATAATAATAAATTTTATTAGGTAACTCGCCTCTAAAATTGTGTCTTCGTTATAAATAAACAAAAAATAGTGGAGGGGAGGGGTGGAGAAAAAGAATTAAAAAAAAAAAATACGAAATACAAAAAGAATTTAAGAAAAATTGAATTTGTTAACCAACAGAACCCTCATTCGAAATTTTCAAAAGATAGAAAGACACAGAGAGAAAGAAAGAAAGAATGAAAGAGAGAGAGAGAAAGAGAATAAAAGAAATCACACACACACACACACACACACATCTTCGCTTTTAATCGTCGTGTGGGGGGGGGGGTTCCCTGCCCCCTTGTTTTCATAGAAAGCAAATAGCAAACAGCAAGCTCGTGTTAGATCAAAATGTTGATGGGTGGGTTGGGGTTAGGTAGATAGTAGGGGTGGGTTCCACAGGTGAGGAGAACGGGGGGTGGGGTGTAAGAAAGAAGAATACAATATTTCAT